TGCGATAAATCCCAAGATCCATAACAATAACAATTTTTTTAACAATAATAATATTTTTGTTGCGGGTTGTGATGAATTCTAGCATCATTCATTCACCAGCACAGCAGTACAATCGAAGCCCAACTCTACCTTTTTTTTTTTTTCTCTATTTGTCTTTTTTATTCACCCCCCACCCACAGCCCTGGCCCACCGCCACGTATGCACGTGAATTGTTTATTTATTATTTTCTCTTTTCTAAGTATTGTATTTAGAGATATTAAACGAGCTAGCCCTAGTGGTTTCGGGATAGCCTAGCGGACTTCGGGCTAAACGGGCTATGTGGGCTATAATAGAAATAATAATAATATGTAAAAAAATCAAAAATAAAAAGAGTAAAAATATAAAAAAAAAAATAACAACGACTAGTTAAAAATTGTTTTCGATGTCTATTTAGTATTTATTGTCTATCACTATTTTTCATGTGCTTCCTATTAGTCATTCTGATTGGTTTAAATATTATGGCATGAAGTATAACAATATTGTTAATAATTATATTTCAAAATCATAACAATTCATTACACTCATACTTACATGTGAAGTGGAATACTAAAATGGTAATATACAAGGAATCTAAGAACATATTACTTACTTGATGCAAACATTTACACCACTCAACCCTAGTTAAACGGGTCAACCCTAGCGGACTTCGGGTTGAACGGTCTGGGCCTAAAAATCAAATGGGCTACTAATAAAAGAACCTAACCTGTTTTTTTTCAGGCTAAACAAGTCGGCCGTCGGGCCAAGGACCCATTTAACATCTCTAATTGTATTTGTTGAAATTGTTACTTTAAACTACAAAACTATTTATTGTGTTTTGTTTTTCATGTTGACCACGAGTGGTGTATACGTTTATAAAATCTTGAAAAAAAAAAATGAAACTTCTTTATGTGGGTAATGTAATGTGATTTTTTTTTTGGGTACAAATGTGACTTTTTATAGGAAAATGTTAAGTTCCCGTTACGGGATGGTTCAGTCAGTACTTTTTACCATTAGATACACATGTAGATTATGTTGTGGAAATATGCTACCATTCCGTTAAAAGATGGTTCCGTTGTCTTTTGTAGCCGTAGATATCCATGTAATCTAGTAATGTGTATATAATCTGCGGTTAAAAAAAAACAGAACCATCTCGTAATGGAATGGTAGCATTCTTCTATATTGTGTAAATAATCTACGGTTACAAACACTGACGAAACCATTCCTTCAACGGGATTGCAGTCGTTTTCCTTTTTATAATTTGATAATATGTATGTGTTTGTTGTTTGAACATGTTTAACAAAGAGAAAATTTGGTAGAAGTGGGGAAAGAATAGTTGTGGAATAGGGTCAAATGGGCCGGTCATACTGACATGTTAAATTATAATAATTCAACTTGCATATTGTATGTGGCCCATGTTTTATGCAGACGTGACTAAAAAATAATTGAACTCAATCACGATATTAATTTGTCATGTATTTTATAAATAAATATGCATAAGTTTTATAATCTATTTAATATTATAAAACGAAATGAATACATTTGTCTCTTGATTTTTACATATTATTGTATTATTAATGTGAGCTCATTTTTATATGAAATTAATTTTGTTAAATATAATTTAAGTAAGTTATATGTTTCATTATATAAGTATAATAATCTTACAATATTTAAAAAAAAAAAAAAAATGAAGGAATTCCTGTGACTTCACATGTTACTTTCAACAGTGGATAATGTTATATGTATTGAGATAATCAAGCCTCTTCACAAATTGTTATTATATATAATTTATTTATTATATAGCCGCCCCACAAACTAAAGAGAATATTCTGAGTATCAAAGTAATATAATTTATAAGCACATTATGCTAACAAGAAAAATTTCATGTTTGTCATTTTACAAATACATTATTATAAAATTGACAGTAATCATTAATAGTTGGACTAGTTTGTGTAGTCCACTTGTTTACCAAATAAATTTTCAATTGATATATTAATTGGATCCGTACTAGTTTGTGTAGCCCACTTGTTGACAATATGAATTTCAAGTTAGATACTAATTAGATCCA